CCCCCCTTGCACAAGAAAGAATGGGAGAATAGTATCCTTAAAAATATTCCGCCCCCCCCCCCCCAAAAAAAAAAAAAAAAAAAAAAAGAAAACAGAGTTCTGGATCCGCCCCTGAGACGACGACAAGGAAGTGAAGGAGAACGTCTGCTGCGCCTCCGGCGTTTTCGACATTGGTCGCTTCAGCGCAATACACGGGGGAGATAGGGTGGTGAGCCCACTACCTAAGTTCTAGGGCACTGTAATTAAAACAAGCAGCTTTTTTATTTTTTTTTATATGCGAAGGAAAATAAAAAAAAGTACAGTTGCAGTGGAAACAAAATTAGCACAAGTAACCGATAACCGCAGCGACAATATCGCGACACGCGGCCCAATTGTTCCCGAGCGCGCCGATACCGAGAGTGCCATCCCTGCCTGAACTCAGGGCTGGCCGGCAGAAAATTGAGGGATAAGATAGCTTTCGAAATGGTGGGCTTTAGGATGGGCTGCTTTCTGCCGGCCACCACAGCGTTGAGACGTGGAACGTGACTGGCACTCGCTATCGGCGCGCCCGGGAACAAGAGCGCTTCGTGTCACGATTTGCCGCTCCGATCGTCGGTCACTCGTGCTAATCTTTTTTCCGCTGCAGCTGTACCAACTAGCCCAACTTATTCCAGTAGCAAAATAATAATAAAAAAACTTGAATGTGTGAGTGCTACCTCGCTCTTTCGGCGCGTGGCCCAGGCGCGATGGCCGTTTCAAAAATGAACGGTGGCCCACCCAGAACTATGGCCCATCCAAAAAAGGGCAGTGTACAGACGGGCCGCGCGTGTCAGGGTGCAACTAGAGTCACTGTATATTGCAGCATAGCTGTCAGAGTAGCGACACGACGCAAAAATATCTAGATGCACGACGTGAGAAGCGCCGATAGTGATCTCCATTTTGGGTCTGGGAGGTTGCCATGGTGACCGCACTGCTAGCGACGCTGGGCGGCAACTTTTTTAGTCTAGTTTCCTTGATGTCTCCATCCGTTCCTTGAAAAGTGGTAAAAGACGTTTTGCGTTTGCCCAATCCCCCAAAGGTCATCCTGGTGTTTATTTCACCCGGCCCGGTGATAGTTGCAGGGGTGTAGAGGGAAAGAAATTGGGTATTCAAGAGGGAAAGGAACACTTTTTTTTTTTTTAGGCTAGGTGGCGAAAACTAACACCCGTTACAAAGGGTAGAGTCGCTATCATCTATCCATCCATCCATTCATGTTCGGCTCTATCGGTTGCTGTGGAAACCGAGCCAGCTCGGCTCGTAGCTACGGTACCGCGTGTGACCGATGGCTGTGAGAGGCGGCGCAGGGAAAAGCGTGGCGCTACTCGTAGCAGCCAATATGCAGTGGCTCTAGATGGGACCACAACACCCTGAAAAATTGTCACCTACCATGGCATCTGTTTCCGAAGGACGCGAGGGAATGGTTGCGACGCGTCAATCGACAAGGGCCCAGTTGGCGATTTTTGTTGTGGGTGCCCTCCAAACATCACAGTGCGTGTAGAAAAACTCGCTTAGCGTTGCTTTCTCGTTCCTATTTCCTTCGTGCTTTTGACCAACCTTGCGAGTATCGACCTTTTTCGTTTAGCCTCACACCCAACCACGTTGTCCCCCTATCGGGTATGCGTTCCGAACAAAAAGCAAGAGATTATATACAACCCCGAACACGATAAAAAATATAGAACGGTCCTAACAACAACGACTGACGGTTGCAATTAAAATGTTAACACGTTCTACTGTCGATGCGAGAAGAAAGCGATGTTTTCACGCATACCGGAAGTTTCAGAATTGAATTGAAGATGGCGGTGCCCACGTAGAAAATGTGTATAGCCAGCTCGGCCTTCCTGCGACTGGCGTACTCGTACTTCCGGGGTGAGACTTATTGGACTTGCAGCTACGAGAATACGCTTAAAGACCGACGACCAGTTCGCGCTTTCCACTTTTCCCCCGCTTCCTCCTCTCCCCCTTCTACCCTGTCCGCCGTTGCCTGTTTCCTCCTCCCCTAGGGTGAGGAGGATATTCTGCCTTGCAGAATCACGTGTCTGGTCGTCGGCCTTTAAATAAAATGTAATTGAGTGTTTTTCACCTTACGTGGGCAACGCAGCGCAGCACAGGGCGCTGCAACGATTCCCGTCTGGCGTACACAGGGACCCAACACGAACGTAGGCATCATGATTTACGCAGGCGACGGCGGGGCAGCAGACAATGGAACAGCGACCCTCACTGTTGCCCTAATGCCTCATGCACGCCGCTTGAGGGCGCGCGCTACTTTTCCAGAGAGGTCCATTGCTTTGCTGGCCAAATGAAGCTTGCAACGAAGTTCAGCAATGACTTCCCCATGACGATTGTCAAGGCAGCTGGCCGTCGATCGTGCCATAGACTAATATACTAACCTAAAGAGTGGCCACTCCCGTAGGCACCAGCGACTCACTTGACTGTCAGCGCACCAAGCGGGTGTTGTGAAGTTGGTCTCGGCTTCCTGTTTGGGCGTTCCTTTTCACTACATATAGCTAGAGGCACAAATGGCTGCTATTTGAATGGGTAGATAACGAATATAATTGATTCCTTTGGTATTAGGCGGCAGCTTGCGCCACCTGGTCTGCCGTGTCTAACTAGAAATCGAATTTAGGTAGGCATCAATTGCTTCAATGCATGCTAGAATTTTAAATTCCAGAGTAGACTATGCACAATATGCAATATAAAATTAAGACCGCTTCACTCAGCTGAGGAAGGAAGGGGACAACCGTACGGGAGAATTGTTAAATGCAGAAATATTTGTTGACCACAGAGACAACCATAACAAAAATAAATGTTTTGCAGGCGTTCCTAGAAATGTACTCCATTTTACCGTAAAGGCGAGCAAAAGAAGAGCTAGGAGAGCGAGCTCGTCGCTTCAAACGAACCTGTAATGCACGCACGCTCGTGAAGTGAAAGCGTTTTTTAAGAAAACACGCTCGTAATTGCAGCGTCAGCTCGCTTGAGTTTATAGGATACAGAAAATAGCTTTTTAGCGACGTAGCTGACGCTCAAGAGACGCTCGAAACACACTCCACGTGGTTTCGCTTTAGCTGTCTCACCTTCGTGACAAAGAAGGACCGCCCAGAAATCCACACGATGTCGGCAACTATACGCCGAATCCGCCACCTTGTCTGACGTTGTGGCAGCTGCCAAGTCGTGCGTCTTTCCAAAGTCCCAGTGGTTTAAATTTGTTGAAAAGAAAACGTTCGAAGCTACTAATAGTCTTAGAAATATGTAAAAATAGTTTGAGACTAATAGTCTTTGAAACCCTATTTCTTAATGGTACAAATACAACGAATATGTAAATAATTAGGCTCCACGGCGCCAGCTAGCGGATGTGGTGAATCCTAAAAGCTGGGCCGCGACAGTGTTCCGCGACTGTTCGATTTAATTACTTTACGAGTCACCCGGACATTCATGCTTCGAATTCTTCATGGGTCCAGATCACAAGAGCGAATGACGTTTTAGCGAAAAGCGACATTTGAGCGAATCGACGTTTTAGCTAATAACGGGGGGCGCGCGTTAACCCATCCGCCGCGCTCCGCTTTACTCCGCTTCGCGGCGACAGTCTGCGGCGGCTCATTACAAAAATATGAACCCACTTAGCCCACCCGAAAACGCCGCTTCGCGGTGTCCGACTATTCGCTTAAGTGTCGTTGAAACGTGGGCGTTCGCTAAAACGTCATTCGATCAAATGAGTGCCTCCCGCAATCATAAGCGTAATCAATCGTCATTTGTGCAGTTCAAGTGTTATCCTAGGGAGGATGCGAGGCCAAACAGAAAGGCGAAAGCCCGTACGGAAGTGTGTCTACTGGCCCACCCTCCAGGGCGGGCAAGCAGAATTCCTACTCAGAAGGAGCCATTCTTCCAAGCATCCTTTGTGTCGAACTAAGTTCAGTCGAAGCAGCCTAACCGGCGGCAAGCCGGCGAGCGATACTCTAAGACCAGTGACATAAACTCACCCCACAAAGATTGCTTCCTGCAGTGGACTTGGAATTTTAGTTTTATAATGGCAAGCCAACACTCCTCCGCTTCGCAGTAGCGTTCTTGTCCGACAAGAAGCAGAAGAGTCTTTTGCCGGTCTCGCGTTGCAGCAGAAGCTGGCTGGCCACAATATGGTGGCTCGTGGCGGCGATCGAACAGTGACTATGATAATAACAAGTTTCACGTGACTGCTTTTGTCCAATTGACTAGAGTGAGGATTTTGTCGGCAAACCATTATAATGGGAATGCGGTACTCTAACATAGTATTCAGCGACACTAGCCCATCCCATGGAGATCCCCAATTCTACTTTTACAATGGCTCCCCCACTTAAGAGTTTCTTTCCGTCTCAGTTCTGTACGTCGTCTTCAGCCCCCACAGTCCGTTTAGAAGTAATCACTATCTCGGCAGCGTGGCCTTGGTGAGTACGCCGACAATACAAGTGACCGATGTGACTGAAACTATTCCACTCTTTTTAGAGCCATTGTGGGCAGGGCTTGCGACGCGCTTGTTCTGCTAAAAAACGAACTTATCAAGCTTTATCTTAAGAAGATCTACATTTTTGCATATTCTTTCAACTTCTGAGGTATCCAATTGTAATTTCCGTCAATGTAACTAATATAAACCCTAATATCAATAATTAAAAATTATCAACACATTTTTGTTAATCAGTCAACTTACCATGGTGATTATACCCTCATCTAATGCCCACCGAGCTTGATAAATGCACGGTGAAGATGGCACTAGTCCAGATTTTACCCCCTTTTGTAAAAAATCTGTTCGAACTGAAATTAAACAGTATCAAAAAGCAGAACATTGGAGTGTGTACAAAAAGACACCGATATAACCAAACCATCCCATTTCTACATACAGAATTTAAAAATGATAACGCCCAAGAACTCCAGTAGCTCTTTATGTGCGCATCGTTAAAAACATTAAAACCCAGAATCTGACAGAGAGCGTGCATATAAAAAAAAAAGCCCAACACATTGCACTTTGATAATAAAAGCACAGCGCCATGAGCATGAGCAATTTCAGAGCGCATTCCTACGAGACCGCAGGGCTTGCGGACGGCCCTTCGCAGCAGCCGCCTTTGCGGGCTCTTCCTGGTCTGCTTCCGAGTCCGCTTCCTGCTCAAAATCCGCGGAAGGCGCCTTCTTCCCGGCCGTCTGCTTTGTCTTCACGGGCGGAGGGCCTTCCTCCTTTTTCTCGGTGGGCTTCTTGCGGGGCCTCCCTGCTTTCGCCTTCGGGGCTTTCACTGCTGCCACGTGTGCCGCGTCGTGCCCTTCGTTCGCGTCATCCACGACCTGAGGGACGAGGGCCTTGACCTTCTTCGGGGCTTTCACTGCTGCCACGTGTGCCGCGTCGTGCCCTTCGTTCGCGTCATCCACGACCTGAGGGACGAGGGCCTTGACCTTCTTCGGGGCCTTTGGTTTGGCGGGAGGCTTGGGGATCGCAGGAGTCTCGGACGCCGACGACCCTTCATCCTCGGGATCTTCGACCGGGGCATCCTTAGCCTTCTTGGGAGCAGGCTTCCTAGGTTTCTGCCTCGGCTTTGGCTCGGCCGGAGCCAGCTTCACGCGGCCGCTGAGGCCCTGCTTGGTTTTGGTGGCGTTTGTGCGAACCAGCACGCCATCCTCGATGCCCTTCAGGAACGCCCGTCGGAAGCTGAGTTTGAAGCGCTTCTCGTCTTGCTTATATTTGCCTGAAAATTAAATAAAGATGACGATCAGAAAGGTTATAAAATTTCACAGGAGCGCAAGTCGACTTCTTTACATAACCGTGGCTCTTGGGACGTGTCTCCGACACCGGCAAGTTGTAAGAAGCATAATTAGGTGACACAACTTTCGGCCTTCGTGGGAAAAGCGCGGACTTGATGTTCCGAGCTAGCCTCGTACCGGGACTGCACCAAATTAAAGGCTGCTGTGACAAGGTCGCCCAAGAACCGAAGACTCAGCGCCGCACAAGCTTCGGCGGGGTTGCTGCGGAAGCGTCCACGCGCCAGTGTTTCAGCACGCGGATGAGAGCGCAACAAACATACGATCACGGCTGAATAACATCAAGACAAAAATCAGCAAAGCTGTGCTCATACTTGAGTAACAGTGGCAGGAGAACAAACGATCGCCAGCGATAGGCGAACGCAGTAAAAGCACAACTGGTACGTCTGTCAAACCAGGCTCTGGTTCGATGCTCTTGCCAGTTCTCTTGCACGTGGATGAAGGCACCAAAACGACGGGGCCTGCTTTTGCCGAACCGTAACTGGACGCTACGACGAATGCCATCACCCGAAATGTGTATATATATGAAAAGGTCTCCGGCAAAAAGTTGGAAGATAAGGTGAATTCAGCCATTTTACATGCCTTTACATCCAAGTGTACAACACTGCTAAATAATTATTTGTGTAGTAGTGTCAGGTATGAGAAGAAAATACTTTACTCGCACACAGATAATACCAAGTCCCTGTAGCTCACCAGTCCTAGACCAGGAGTCAATGTACCGACCGGAAACCATCCGGTGGGCCGAAGGGTACTTTACGTTGTACAGTGGATAAAAAAAAATACATTGGTTTCGTACTATTTTAGACGATGCTCACGGCACCATTGAAAACCCTTATATAGAGATCGATATTTAGACAAGTAACATACCCCAAGAACGATGGCGGAACAATGACATTAAAAACTCGATTTCGTTTCATATGGAAGCAGAAAAGCGCAGCAGGTAGTCATTTTTTGACGCAGGATGGGTACAGTTGCTAGGTTAGCCGGGCTGAGATTTTTGACGAAACTCGCAATTAGAAAACGAACGCAGGAAAGTCCGAGTTCCTTTTGTCTGAAGCTGGAGTGGTTCCGTCACCGGAACATTGTGACGCCAGTGCTTGGTGCAGTCACAATGGACCATTTTGGAAAATTACCGGTTCAGGGGGGGTTCTGGTATGAAAATGCGCGAGCACGTTTTCAAGTAAGTGAACACTTCCTCGGCCTAAGAAGCTACACCCTTCTGGTTTAATTAAGTTGCAGTGGCCTGGCTTCCCCAAAGCTTGTGTGCCTCCTAAATGCGCGCACATCCTCAGAATCCACCAACCCAGTTTTTCGTTAGGTGGAGCCAGGGATTAAAAAGCGGTTTCGTGGACACACTTGTGTTTATTGCGTTTCCCTCTTGACCTTCAATACTTATTTTGATAGTTTGAAGGTACAAGCGCTGCTCTTCGCCCTTGGGTGGGGAGACAATATACTAGCTCTTGGTTCTTCATCAACGACAGAGGCTGCTCTTTTCCGATGTTTCTCCCTTGCATGCACGTTTGTCATTCACTGATGCCTGATCAACTTCCAGTGCGGCTGTTAGGGATAAACAATGACACAAGTTCGCCAAATCGCGGTAAGGCATATTACAAACTTTTTGCGGAATAAGTCATGAGCCGAGCTTACAGCCGAACTGAAGCACTCCAGTTGCCTTCCCTCCATTACGCGAGTCCCCTTGTTCCCAAAATCTTTCAGTTACATATGTCGTACGAGGTTAGATTGGAAAAGTTTCCGGAATCGCCGCCAGGGAGCTTTTTTACCAAAATATTTTTATGTCGGTGTGTTGGCCACCCCTTCGTATGAAGATCACAAGTGCCAGATTGAAATCTTAAAAATGCTGGCTTTCACAACCATTCTAGTCGAGCAACCATGAACATTTGCAATAAATAATAAAATTCGTTAAGTCATCTTTTTTTATTCGGAAGGAAAATATGCGATGGAGATCAAATCCTGGTTAAATTCTTTTCTTGGGGAGTCATCACCTTCGTTTTCCACCGCGAGGTTTTGCGTTTCCAAATTCAAGCGTGGTCGTACGGACACAAATGATGAACCACGTTCAGCACGTCCAAAAACAGTTACCACACTGTGGGTAAAATCTATGGCTTGGTTTTGGAAGACCGCCGCATAGAAGTGAGCGAAATTGAGGGAGCAGTGGGCATCTTTTCTGAACGAGTTGGTCATAATTTACAAAATGAAGTACGATTAAAAACTCTTTCTGCAATATCGGGGCCCCGCTAGTTCAATCCGGAGCAAAAACGCATTCAAGCCCGAACGTCAGCCTACGGTTCGGCGATTTATAACTAGGACGAGGTCTGGGTCCACCGTTACACGCCAGAAACAAAAAGTCATTCGAAACAATGTACTGCGCTCGGCGAATCGGCTTCGAGAAAGGCAAAGATCATTCAGACGGTTGGCAAGGTGATGTCATCAGTTTTTAGGGACGCCAAAATAATTTTCCTCGTCATCTTGAAAAGGGAAAAACAGTTACTAGACAATACTACATAACACTTCTGGACAAGCTGAAACAAGTAATTCAAGAAAGGCACCCGGGAATAGTCAAGAAAGAGGCGTTTCACCACGACTATGCACCCGCCCATTCAAGCGCAGTCGCTCAGCAAAAACGGACGGAACTAAGGTTCATCCATTTCGCATCCACCGTATTCACCTGATTTGGTTCCCTCGGACTTCCACCTACTCCGGAAGCTCAAGATCTTCCTGGGTGGAAAACGATTTATCGAAGGAAGAGGTGATGGAGGCCGTGAACAGTTACTTTGGGATCTCGAAGAACGTCATTTCCGGGAGTGAATAAAAAAGCTGGAGAAACGCTGGACCTAGTGTGTCGAGTTTCGGGGGGATTACGTCGAAAAACAAAGTATAACTTAAATTATATATATTGCTTTCTTTTTCATTCCGGAGACTTTTCAAACTACCCTCCTATATAATGAATTATTTTAAAGTAAACTTCAATTGCGGCAGCTAAGTCGCTTCTTGAGAGTCCGAAAGGTCGCAGCTGAATGCGATTTTCAGCGAAGAGGAGCGCCCCTTTTGATTTTCTTTTTTATTATTACATTACCAGCTTGGAAGCCACTCGCCAAGTTTCTGCCAATGTAATTCAATTACTTTGTCAAAGTGTATATACTCTACTGAAGATAGTTTCTAGTAAAAGCAACTTTAATACTACTCTAAATACATTTTCAAAGGGGTATATAGCATATTATCTTAAGTTCTTTCGTTGAGTATTTTGCACAACACTGCAGTCGGGCACCCCTGCTCTAAGCCATAATCAAGACGTGAACATGTCAGTCGACGGTTCAAGGTCACGTGCTCATTCGTCAAAACACTAAAGACGAAACGTTTACCTTCCAGAATGATTACTCGTACAATCGGTGTACAAAACAAAGCACCAGCGAATAGCTTCCCCGTGGCGAAAAGCTTTCCAAAGAACTTACCGACAATCCAGGCGAAGAGAGATCGCGGAGTGGACCCCTTCTTGTCATCTGAGAAGCAGTGAAAAGAGGAACAAGATTACTGGTTAAAATTACTGCCTTGCGTGCAAAGTATTAAGTCACTTCCCCTTTTGAAACTGATAAAAACTGCGGGTTGGAGAGTAGGGCGCTGCGAGAGTGCATCCTACTCCGATGTGTTTGACCCTCGCCCAGCACAACCCAAGCTTCAACGCTGCGCTAGAAGTTCCGTCGCAGCCGCTCACGTTGGCTCGGCAAGAGCCATGCGAGGAAGCTCGCCGTTCGCAAGAGGAGCAGGCTGATTGCGCGTCCATGGAGCATTACAGCAGCGTAACGCTCCCTCCTAACTTGCGCAGTTAGTTTTGTGAACAATTTTCTTCATATGCGTTGTCATTTACTTGTCAACAATATAGCAGAAACAGTGCGAAATTCGAGACAGGATAACAAGGGACCCAGGACGGTTGCAGATGCCTAACTGAAGTCAGTCACTTGGCAAAGTTTATGTCTCAGCTCCCAGCGCTCGCCCTGTGTCCCCTCTCTCTAGTCTGTTGCAACTCAAGAAGGTAGGGCGAGGGTAAGACGGGCCGGGGAGGAGGAAGTAGACTGAACGCTAAAGCGAAAAGGTTTTCCCCTCTTCTCCTGCGTTCAGTCCGCTTCCTCGTCCCGTCTTACCCTCACCCTACCTTCTTGAGTTGCAACGGACTATAGTTATTGTGTCTCGTGTGTGGCGCTGGGATTGCTAAAATGCAGTTCCACCAGGTCCCGCATTTACCGCACATTTTAACAAAATGCAACAACTTTATCATTGGCATTTTGCAGGCAGCCAGAATGTCATTCAGCGCGCCCATTAGCTGGTAACCCTGCGTCAGAAGGGTGAAATAGAAGTAAAGCAGTTCGTTCGAGCACGGAAGTCTCGTGGAGCTTGATTGACGACTTATAAGAACCACTCGGACGTCCTCGTGAAGGACATAGATAGCATGGCTCCTGCAAAATAGTGGAATAGCGGGGATGGGAAATGACGTGTTTATTGCCAGGTAGCATTTCTGCAATAAGAAATAATGAACAACTTGGAAACACGAATGCTGTAACCGGCAAAGTTTGACGCCTCATGCAGCACCGGAGCAGTAGCTTTCTGGGCCGACTGGCTTTTGCCGTTGTATATCGCTAAGCTGGTCTTGGTGATAGTCGATTAATACTTTGTGAAGTCACTTTCAGCGTCTACAACGGAAGTTATCCAACAAGGTAGACCGTCCATTATGCGGGATACCAGGTCCGAAGCTCACAGCCTCTTCCACTTAGTCTCGGCCACCATAACGGGTGTTAAGAAAAAAAAAAACTGCGAAATTTATGGGACCATGACGCTGCGGTAATGCTCCATGGACGCTCTCGCGCTTGAAGGGCGCGCGCGCAAGCAGCCTGCACTTGCCCCGAGCAGCGAACCTTCTCGTATGGCTCATGCCGCGAGCCAACAAAAGTGGCTGCTGCGGAACTTCCAGCGCGCCACCGGCAACTTCCAGCGCGCCACCGGCGTAGCATTAAAGCTTGCGTTGTGCTGGGTGAGGGTTTAATACATCGGAGTATGACGCACAGACTCACAGCGCCCTTGTCTCCAACCCGCGGTTTTATCAGTTTCAAAAGGCCTCCAGGAGGCGCAACATGTACCGAAGGCCACGCGTTCCGCTGTTCACATTGCATTTGAACCCCATAGTACACAAGTAAACCGTGAGGGGCGATATTTTTAACTCCAAACAAGGTTACACGTGTCCCGACCACTTCAATGCCGTGGCGCGAGTGTCCGTTCAGCGCAGCAGAGAGTATTGTGAACAACGAAAAGAGTTCTCTATTGCCGGAGAATATCATCGAACCTCTTGGCCTCTGCGGCTGGAATATTTATTTCTGGGTGTGGTTTTCTGGACTGTTCTCAACTAGACATCCAAGGTTGATTTAAAATCTGAAATTATACATTGCGCCGTTTATCGCATATTCGGAAAATGCAATTTTGTTTTTCATTATTAAGCGTGAGAATGAACGAAACCTAATAGATTAATTCATCGACTAAACGGTATAGAATAAACGGGTTAAAAAATTTAATGCACGCCCAGCCCTATGAATTACTAGTACGCAGAGGATCATTCCTAATTATACGGTTCATTCGTTTTCTAGGCGCTAATCTCGAAACTGGGGCGCTGTCGGGAGCTATTTTTTCTCTTTTGGTAACGTCAGATGAATTCATACAGAAAGGCGTAGTGGGGCGTTTTTCTCATTTCTCTCTGGAAAGTAGTGGGCGGGCCGGGGGGGGGGGGGGGGGGGGGGCAGATTTTACAGCAGCTTCTATGCTTAAACAGAATATGAAACTTACATGAACGTGCCATGGAAAACTTTAACCCAAACATATGCTAAGAATTCATACCTCGCATTGTGCCTGAAGAGATAACGACCAGCACGTTATCCTCCAATTGCAAGCAGTTGTTCAGAGGGACCATTAATAAAACAACATTGAATGCTGACCATACCAGATACCGCGAAAGGACAAGAGAACTGGCGCATGAGGACAATGAACGAGCAAATTGATTGCCGATGACAAATGCCGAACGAACGAGCAGACTACTTTGTTTCTCCGGAAAGCTTCGACTGTCATGATCTCGGGTCCCAGCGGTTCCGGAGCGTCACAGCTAAAATTCCTTTCACAAATTGGACACGACCCTTGTGTCACCTGCCGGCTTGTGCCCGGTAAGAATCAATCCCTCGGTGGATGCTCAGATTATTTAGAGACCATAAAGGAACATGTTTCTATTGCTCAAGCGCTCGTTCGATGGATGGCATCTCAGAGCCGAGAATGGACAGCCACAAGCCAAGCTGCTCAATGTTACTAATTATTGAGCCCGTTTAACATTAAATATAGTTTCTTGTTCATTAAATGTGGCTCTCCCGTTCCCTTGGGTTGGACAAGCAGCCAGGCAACTGTCCCGAAAAGTGCCATGACAAATAAAAATACCTTACTCTCTTAACCTGCAAGTTGCGACGCGCATGTAAGCAAGTTTCTAATATGTAGAACATTGGCGGTAACAAGTCAGATCTATAATACGTTATGGCCAGTAGATTAAGAGTCAAGCTTCACTGAAGAGCGCGACCGTGCGTTTCTTTCGGTGAAGTGGTGGGTGTTGACTCAGCCACTTGATCACGTGACAACGGGCGCATCTTAGCGCACGGAGGGAGCGCGTTAAAGCCAGGGACACATGAGCGTCGAAAACTGACGCTGCACGGCGGTTTCCATAACTTGCGCGGACGCTGTGACGTGGACTTATGCGAAGCCGCCACGTCATCACAGCGTCCGCACAAGTTGCTATGGAAACTGCCGCGCGGCGTCCGGTTTCATCGCTCACGTGTCCCCTGCTTAAAGGGAACATGAAGTGGCTGTAATTTGATTAAAACACTTGATTCTCTTCATTCCGACTTCTGCCATCACGAATATCCCAAAATGTAGGCTAGTTCATGCCCGTATTATATAAAATGACGCATTTGCAGTTGCGTTGAAACCCCCCTCCAGCAGCGGGAGAGGGGAGTAAGAGGACAAGGGAACGCATGGTGTCACGAAAGGTTGCTCGCGCAAGCTTTTCGGCGGAGCCAGCGTCGTCGATACTGGGCTAGTTTGTGATCCCTGCTTCTGAAAGACGCTAGCCAGTGGTTCAAATCAGGGAGTCTCGGGGGCTCCCTGCTCTCGGAGCTCAAATGAGCAATGTGCAGGCGGATATCTCCTCTCGGAGCTCAATGAATTTACAGAAAGCATTAACAGCCGCAGTCTCGGCCACGCGTTCCGATTGACCCAAGTGATTACTGGAGATTATGTTTTACAAGCTGATAAGCTCAAGATTCTTGCAGATTAAACTGTAAAGGAAACACGAGCTCCCAAAAAAAAAACTATGCGCATAAAGACGGCATCGAAGCACTCACCATGAAATTCGACAGCTTCGCGGATCATGGCAAGGGTGTTGCCCGGTTTCCCCGCAATATTGATGCGTCTCACGACGTCGCCTTCCTCGGGGGGATATTCCAGGCTCCTCTTCGAGACCGGGACGTTGCGCTGCTGGTCAATCTCCTGGTTGTCCGACAACTCTTCAGTGTCGGAGGAATCCTCTACGACTGCGAGGCGCCTCGGCATTCTGTTAGACTGGCCCTTATGTGGCCGTGGAACCGTAATAGTAAATCGAATCGGCGTTGGCGTTGAAGAGTGACACGGACCGTTGTTGGAGCTTTCAAAATATTCCGAGAAGCGGGCCCGTCCAACTTCGAACAAGGAGGCACCTTACCAAGTCTGGGACTGACGGGACGGGCTGACGCAGGACGGTAGCTCACAACCGTCTGGCGGGATTGAGTCCCTGCTTCTAAACCAAGCCGCCGCCGATCCAGTGTCGCTATCTATGCCATCATGTGAGCCCTTTGTTCTTTTTCTTCGTCTTCTGATTGGCTCTGGGTCGCACTCACTAAAACACGAGAAGGTCGTGAACCAAATAACGATAAGAAATATAAAAACAATGTAACAAAAAGTCCGATGACTCAGTTAGTTGTGTTGACCGAAACAGTTCACAAATTGTTACGTGTCATTAACGACGCGACGCGTTCTCGGAAAAAAAAAACACAAAAAAACAGTGCGGAAATAAAATAGAAATGATATCGCATGTCACGTTACATTTAAAAGTGCTCGTCTTTCTGCCACCGCCGGGCTTGCACCGCGCAGCCTGCGCATGAAACAACATTATTTGAATCACGTTACCCGGTCACGATGATGATGCGGCAAAGAAGAGGAAACAAAATCCGCCAAACTATGCTCCTGCTGCGAATGCGGGATGGGATACCTCCACTACGGTGGCTAGAAGTTTAGCTAGAAGGGGTGGTTTTTCTCCATTTGACCGGAGAGGCGTTCATGTCTAGATTAACCCAGTTTTTAGTGAAACTGGGGCGGACTCTCCCCCTTTATTTCACGGTATAGTTACGTTGAAATTAAGGGGTACCTCCGCACCATTCACTGATTCGTGTAGCTGGAAAAGAAAATAATGTAGGAAAGTAGCCAGACGAAACAAACGTGGACGCTCACTTTCTATCTAACAAGCTTAACTTTAGAGGCCTGTTTCTCTCGGCCAGGGGGCGTGAGCGAGCCCGTAAGACGCGCCCATGCAACGCTTGCATCCGGTACAAAACGCCACTGCGGCGTCGGGCCAGGCACGAGCCACGGCCGTTTTCAAGTGAGCGTCAGCATCTATACTTACGCGCGGTAAGAGAGCACATAAAAAGCTCCACATATATATATATATATATATTAAAAAAATGCAGCTCGCGGTGTTTACCAGGACGATAAAATTGATTCTTTTTAATCTTTAGTTGTTATCGTCATTTTTTTTCTACTTTTCATCCACCAATAAAATTCCGCCAGCTTAACACCCGCCAGCAACGTCAAAAAAACAAAAACAAAAACAAACGCAATGACACGCAAACAATACGGCACTCGAGAAATATCTTATTTTTCTCAAAAGAGGCGTTGCTCAAACTTGAGAGCCACAGTGCTAATTTGATAAACAAAACTTTAAATTCATTGTGCAACATGCATGCTGTTTCAAAGAACTTGCACCAAACTTTAAAACAAAACAAAAATAATAAAAAATGCGTTTTGCGGCATTGAAATCGACTGTACCTTGTCAGCGAAAGTGCACGAATTTTCCTTGCGTGCCTAGTTATTGATTTAATTAAAACTAATTAGTTACTTATTGAATTGTTAGTTTAAAAGGCCACTGACAACCCCAAGATTTTTTCTCTTTTTTTATTTTTTTTACTATCTTGAACGGTTCTGAAGCGCGTGGCAAAATACATAAAAAAATATTCGCGAAAAAATTTGCCATGCGAAGGAGCCATAAAAAATCTTAGCTCCTTTTAGCTTCTTTTTTTTGGTAACGTAATTGGCGAAGGCATTTTTGAAAACGTTATGAAGTGTCGCAAGTCGATTGTCTGTAATAATTATTATTGTCATTCATAAAATGCCTATAATTATTATTGTCCTTCATAAAATGCCTTTTTCACAACGACAGTGCTGACTTCGGAAAATAAAAATGTTAATGACGAAACATCGGCCGTCTCCTAGCCCAGGTGATATAACACCGTGACCGCCGTGACCGCGGGGCACGCGCTTAAAAGCGTGCTTCAAAGGCTCCGGTAGTGCGGTACGTGGCGCACGGTAACGGTTAGCTAAAGCCTAAAAGTCCCAAATATGGTGGCATCCGGCGGCTATGTTGAAGGCCTTGAGAGGAATGCGCGCCAAAGGAAGGTCGTAAACTGCTATGACGTGTCTCTTTTTTTTTTTTTTTCGTGCCGGGTAATTTTTTTTTGGATTTCGACCGAGAAATTGTTGAGTGGTCAAGAAGTTTAGGTTTGGTGCCCTACAAAACGCCTGATCGAGAGCAGAATAATCCCGATGGAGACATCACTGAGGCATCGGTTCTTTTACCCACTCAAGATTCGTGGCGCTTCGACAAAACAGATCGGTAACATCATGAAGCACGAGCGTGTATCGAGTAGTCAGAGCTCAGCCATTTGTACACTCATTTTTTGCCTTAATTAGGTGAAGCTGTAGCCGGTGTGCCCTGCTACCTAGCTTCGTACCCGATGAGTGCCGCGATGTTGCAGAGAGGTGAGGCCTAGGCTCGTTTGCATGGTGGGTTGTCACAGGTTTGCTGATAATCTCTGCTTAAACACAACGGACTGCCGACCAGGCGATAGGTCCACACCTCGGTAGAGTCTTGCCAATGAATGGGAGACCGCACAGCTTTGCAACAAAACAAGTTTAATACAACTACAACAAAAATATAAAACAATACAAAAAGAAAACAAAAACAGTTAGCAATTGCCGAGCTGCGAAAAACAACAGGACATGAACACACTTCACCTGGCCGGTGCACGGGCGGCGAGGAAAAAACACTCAACCACGAAGCGAATTACTCATAAACCAAAACATATAGCTTAGTACAATGCTCTAAACATCTTTTATGCGGGAGCTTCCCCGAACATGGAAAAAATAACAAGTTAGGAGCCTAAATGTTATCAAATAATAAAATCGAACACCCGTGAAAATAAAAACCAACTACGGAAATACCGCTACCTTAATTACTATAAAAAAACAAATATATATATATATATATATATATATATATATATATATATATATATATATATATATATATGCGAGTGGAGGGGAAATCTCGTCTCACAGTGTCCGGGTCTTGCGAGGTGCTGTCCGAAGGGGGAAGGAATGGTCCCGGTGGTACCACGGTGGGTTGGGCGGCTTGAGGTGGCCACACAATCACACACACACTTCGTCGTCGAAGTCTTCCCCAGCCCGGACCTGGCCCGCTACCGTTGAGCTCGACGCTACGATTCTCCGTCTGTTGCTTCCGAGTTTCCAGCTCACTGCTCGCCTTTGTTCCAAAGAGTCCGCCTCAACGGGACCCTGCATTCCAGCACGCAGGAGTGGAAAAAAAGCAAAAAGAAACCAAACCCCAGGACGCTGGCCCGCTCGTCCCTTCATCCTTCCCCAAAGGCAACATCGCTTCGTTTTCGGGAAAACTGGGTCCCAGCCCCCACATTCCGCGAATTTCGTGGAAGGACGCGTCAGGCCGGGAGAGTGGATAATGTAACACAGCCGGATTTTGTGTCACTGCCCCTCACTTAAGAAGATTCACCCGTGAATATTTAAAACTAACTCTTCACACAAACTCGGCGAAAAAGAGCACACATACACACAAAAAAAGTCAAAAATACCTATACAAAGCAAACTAACCTGCGCTCCGTACGAAGTTTTGCACATTCCACAATGGGAAGTTTTCATATTCGGAAGATCTGAACAAAGTACGGAGTAAACGCAACATGCATATACTGGCTTAAAAAAGAAAAACAATGCCTCATTAGTGAGGCAAACTTACAAGCGGCTTAGGAAATCAGCGCCCACATTTTCGCTTCCCTTGATATGTTCGATCGTGAAAGGAAATTCCTGCAACAAGAGGCTCCACCTCAGCGCTCTACTGTTCAGATGCTTCGCCTGATTGATGTACTTCAGCGGCTGGTGGTCGGTTTGTACGAAGAATTTTCTACCGTAAAGGTATGGACTGAATTTCTGCATTCCCCAAACCAATGCCCAGCACTCCCTTTCGATGATGCTGTAGGCGGCCTTACGAGCAAGCAGCTTCCGGCTCGCGTAAGCTACATGATGTTAGCGGCTATCATGCTGCTGCATTAACATAGCTCCGAGACTCGTGTCGGAAACATCGATCCTGAAGACGAAGTCTTTTCCACAATATGAGAGTTTCAGGATCGGCGATTCGCGATCCGTTCTTTCAGCTCGTCGAACGCCGACTGATGGGCAGTCTTCCACTCAACCTGATTCCTTTTTCTTCGTGAAGTCCGCTAGCGGCCCACTGATCTTTGCGTATAGTGGGGAATCAAATCCCAGTAGTACCCCATCAGCCCGAGGAACGCCCGCACCTGGCGCTTGGTGGTCGCCACACTCGCCTTCTCGATTTTGTCGAGCGTCTTTCCGAGGGGGGCCAACAGTCCCTTTCCGATGCGGTGACCTAGAAAGTCAATTTGTTCCATCCCAAACTCGCACTTGGTTGGGCGAATGGTCAGTCCCGCCGCTTAGATACGGCCGAACAGCATGTGCAGTGTAGTGAGGTGTTGTTCCCAGCTGTCAATAGCCACCAAAACATCGTCGTAGTAATGAGCCACGTGTGGAATTCCATCCACCAACTTCCGCATCAGTTTGGCAAATACCGCCGGAGCGGTCTTGACCCCAATCGGCATGTGCAGAAAATGGTACAGTCCCGAAGTCGTCGAAAATGCGGTCTTGGGCTTGGAATCGCCGCTGAGTGGGATCTGCCAGTAACCCTTAACGAAATCCATCTTTGAGAAGTAGCGTTTGCTTCCGACGGCGGTAAAAACGGAGTCGACTAGTGGCATCGGTTCGGAGTCAGGAACTAAGACTCCGTTTAGACGCCTGAAATCGACGCAAAGCTGATTTGTCTCGTCCGGCTTCTTGACGAGCATAACGGGTGCGTTGTATTTAGAACTGAATGTTTCTATTATTCCGAGCCTCAGCATTTCCTGCACCTTTTCCTCAAC